GCCCCGCCGTTTTCTTTTAAGTTTCTATGTTTGGGATTTTGCTATATGTAGCTGGACACATTCCTGGTACCATAGACTAGCACTTCTCTCATAAGTTCTTTTTACGATTCTAGTACATAGCCCCCACCTCTAGGCCCACACTGATGGAATTAGCTGGATTATATAATTAGTGAATAATAATAATTCCACCAATAATGAACATTTACCGAGTACCTTTTACGTGCCAGGAATAGAGCTAAGTTATTTTATCCTCGCAGTGGTCCCAGGAAATAGATATTGTCCTTCTTTTTGGACAACAAGGCTCAGAGATGACAGATGGCCGGCTCCAGTCATCCAGCCAGAAGACCGAAGCTGGGCTCCAAGTCCAGTTCCGCCTGAGTCCGAGACCTCTGCTCCCGAGCTTTAGCACAGCTAATGAAACAGGCTTACCTAACAAGTAGAGAAACTGAGGTTCAGGAGCGTGAGCCCAAGGTCACAGAGTGAACTCAGGGGGTCACATTACTAGAAACCAGGTCATCTGGGTCTCCATCAAGGGCTCTTTCTGTGACATCCTGATGCCCAGTGAATGATGAGACTTGAAGTCTGGGCTAAGGTCTGGGGCAGTGGGAGCTACTGATGGTTCTGAGCATAGTTAGGAGGGAAACAGGTCTTTCTTCAACTGTGGTGGAGGAGGAGGGGGATGCAGGGACTGACATGTTACAGCCCCAGCAACCTCCAGAGCAACTACCGTTGCTTAGCGAGACAGTGGCTGGTCTCCCAGCTCCCCAGAGCTAATCACTGATGCCCTGCAGATTAGGTTGCCGGAGGGGGGCGGGCTGGGGAGGATGCCAGTGGTGTGAGCACGCGGCCATCCTGTGTTGATCAGATGGCGCCAGCTGCCTAGTGGTGAGGTCTGCAGGACAGGAGACTCTGCAGTGGAAACTTCCCAGATGAGCTTGGGGACTCTCCACTCACCCACCTCCTGCTTGTTTATTTGCCTTCTTGGCCAGCCTCCACCAAGATTTGGGTGCTTGTTTTAAACATTCAGGGGTTGGAATCCAAGAGAGCCAGGGATAAGGGGTTAAGCTTGTAGATGTTGACATCAAACAGACAAGGGCTCAGATCCCATCTCTTACCTATTAGCCTGTGGCCTTTAACAGGTCAGCGTTCCTGTTTGCAATAATGGGGACAAGAAGACCTAGCTCATGGAACTGTTACGAGTTATAGGGGACATGATGCACCCAAACCCCTTAGCATAACACCTTGCCACACAGCAAGAGTTCCAGGCTCTAACTCCTCCTCCTCTTCCTCGTTCGCCCCACTGCCCGCACAATCTAGGGAAATCTTTGCACCTCAGTTTTCTCTTTTGCACCGAGGGGATAAGGATACCTTCTTCTTGGAGCTGCTGTGAGGCTTTCAATGAGAAAGGGATATAAAGACATTTTGTGACTCTCAGTCCTTAGCTTCTCAGCTGAACTATGTTGCTTACATTGGACCCCCACTCCCCACACCCAGCTGACTGCCACCCTAAGGGTGCATTTCTGTCTCCTCCAAACACTGGCTGGCTGTGCTGGGCTTGGGCGCGTGGTGCCTAGTATTCCAGAGCAAAGGGATTAGCTGTGCCACCCTGGGCCAGTCACTTCAGCTCCCTAGATCTCATTTTCTTTCTCTGTACATTGGAGGTGAAGATACTCTATGAGGCCGTTGAGTAATTACATGTGATACTGCATGTATAATGCATAGCATTCTGCCTGGCACGCAGTAGGTGCTCAAGAAATACTAAGAATTCTAACCACCCATGCCCAACCCTAGCCTGGCATTGAGTAGGTGAAGGGAAAGAAGAGAACTTTGCACAGCACCCTCCTGCTCAGGCAGGGGACAGAGGGAGAACAGGTAGAGAATGAGCATTGAGCTCCCCCCGGAGGCCAGGTATGCTCACATGGACTGCCTTGTTTCATCCTCACAACAGCTCTGACAAGAGTGGAATTAACTCCATTTCATCGAGGGAGAAACTGAGGCCCAGGAGGGGCAGTTGGCTGCCTAAGGTCACACAGAGAGTTGGTCAGGAATAGGGGGCTGGGACCTAAGATGCTGGGCTGATTCCAGCTCTCCTGCCCTGTGGGGATGCTGGGTGGGGCTGGGTGGGGCTGGGTCCCTGAGTGATTCAGGTCACAGTCAGCTGGGATTTCCAAATAATGGGTGGGACCCAGGAGGGGCGGAACCTCTCCAGGGCCATTAAAATCCAGGCCCTCCCTAGAGTCTCTGGTCGGGTTGCCAGGAGCCGGTGTAGGGGTGGAGCCTGGGGTGGGGGTTTGCAGAGGGAGAAACTTCACTCCGTGTTACCAATGATGTATAGGGAAGAGGGAAAGAGGGGGTCCTTGCTGTCTTTGCTGGGGGAGGGTCTCAAGGTCTAGGATGGAACTGTGAGAGTTGGGGGTGCTGGCCAATGGACCCAGCTGCGGAAGGCAGGGAAACTGAGGCAGGGCACTGACACTTCTGGTGGGGATCACAGCAGATGGATGGGCCGGCAGTCACCTTGATGAGACTGATCTTGGAGCCTCACTCACTCAGAGAAGGTCCGTATTTTTTCATGTAGTCAATCACTCAGACAGGCACCCACGAATTGCGTTCCTCAATCAACCAGCACTCGCCGCATGTCTTCTGCACGCCAGAGCTCGTGCTTGGCCCTGGGCAACAGTGACCAAGATGCTTACAGCTTAATAAGGGAAAGAGAGGGGCAATGTAGTCCATTGTGCTACCTGCCGTGACCGGGGAAGCACAGAGGAGGTTTCCCAGGGGACACTGGCGCCGAGTGGAAGTTCACCATCCTGAAGATTAGGAAAACTCCCCGGATGTTGAGGCTACAGGCTCTGGAGTGGAGGGGTGAGGACAGGCGACCCTGTGCTATGCCCTTCGCCAGGGCCAAGGCAAGGGCTGGCCCAGTCCTCTTCCCTGGATCCAGCTGCATGCTGGACCCGCTGCTGAGATGAACCAAACATGTGTCCCCATGCGAACTCCCCAAACCCAGGCTGTGCCCCCTTCCTGGGTCCTTCCCTGGAGGTTATAACCAGCATCAGGCCAGAAACCCAGGTGTCCCCTGCAAGACCTCTCTTTCCCTGAAGCAACTGGTCGCCAGTCCAGGTACTTCTCTGCCACCATTTCCCTTGTCGTCCTGTCCCCCACTCCCCCACCTCGATTCCATCCTGTCCCAAAAGACCGCACTGGTGTCCTGCCGGCCATCTCTCTCTGGCCTCTCCTTCGCTGCCTCCATCTCAAGATTTCCAGCGCTGGTCCCAGAGCCTGGCCCCAGTGAGGGCTTGATCACCCATCCTGGACCTGTTCCCACAGACCATCTGATGTGACCTTTCTCTTGTTCAGATGGGGAACCAGAGGTCTGGAGAGGTGCAGAGACTCATCTAGGGTCACATCATGGACGAGCTGAGACTTGCAAACTGGGATTCTCGACTCACAGCCTAAGGCTCTTTCCTTCCGGCGCCTGGGCCACACAGGTATTGGTAGGTGACGCGGGATTAAACAGCTGGCAGGAGGCATGGGCATGGTAATTGCTGGGCCCAGGGCCCAAAGGAACGGAGGACCTAGGAGTGAACGACGGGGCCTTGTTCAAGCTCGTCTCTCTTTTCTTCATCACCAGAAAGTCCCCTTTTCTTTGGGTAGCTGGGCTCCCGAATCTTCACCCTGACCCCTTTGACTGACAATCCATGTCTTACGTCTCCAAACCCTATGTGGGTCGTTATGAGGGACTCCGCACCTGATGTTGGAGGGAAGGCTGCAGCCTGTCTGAGCACCCCAGGGCCTCCACCTGCCTGCGCCCTCCCCCGTCTGCCCTGGCTTGCTCTGACTCCCTGGGGCAGCAGGCTTCTGTCCCAGTGGAGCATGGGACAGCTCGGGTGGGTGGGACGCTGACATAGCTTTCCAGCAGGGCTCGTTTCTCCACCTGTTATGGTTCCCACCCCACACCCAAGGATGCCTGGGCGCGAGCACAGGACCTCTGAGCCCTCCTACCAGGTCTTCTCTGCTGCAGGACCCACAGCAGCCGGGTGTGCTGGGGAAACTGAGGGAGAAAACCTGACCCGAGACTCGGAGTGACCTAGGATGAGCCCTCCCCCCTGCTATAATCGGTTTCCCCGGCTATAAAAAGAGGAGTTGAATGCTAGGGTTCTGTAAAGTTGGCAGGTGGATGTGAGACCAGCTAGAGCAGTGACCCTGGCCAACCCCAGCATCTGAGTCAGATGTTTGAAAACTATGCATGTTGATAATTGAGCATCTACTATGTGCTTGGTACTGCAGCAGGAGCTCTGTGTGCATTAGCTCATCGAATCTTACACAACCCTCCGGGCTGGTTCTTATTATCCCCATTATAGAGGAGAATGCTGAGGACCAGAGAGGGTAAGTACCTGGTCCAGGGAAACAGCCAGTAGACTGTAGAGTCCGCATTTGAAGGCAGGTCTCTTGCACTTGGAGTCTGTGCTCTTCATTTCTGGTGGCACAGGCACAGGCAGAGACTTGTGGCCTCAGAAGGCAGAGCCCAGCCTCTGGGGGAAGTCAGCCTTTCTTGTCGGACCTGTCTGAGGGTAGTGCAGGCCAGGTGGACGCTCCCTTTTCTACCCCTTTTTCTTTTCTGGGCAGCAGGATGTGTGGTTCAGACCAGCAGCTTCTAGCCTCAGCCATTCAGTCCTGCCCCAAAGCCCCGAGCGACCCCAGCCTTGCACATCATCCCTGGCTTCAGTTTCCTAGCTGCCAAATGGACACAGTTTTGGCATCACCGGGCTTGGAAAACTCAAGTGCATCAAGGATCTCGGGTGAGAAATCACCTTAGTGGCAATCGTAGGATAATGACTATAATGTCTTGGCTGGGGCCGGAGTAGAGGAAGTAAGTGGGTGGTGGCCGAGGTGACAGCGGGCTGGAGAGGTGGAGCCAAGGGGACGGGTGGGGAGGGGGCGGGCCGGGCAGCCAGGCTGGCCTGAGCTCCCTGGCGCGGAATTAGAGCCGCGGGGTTCCGGCCGGTCGAGTCTCGCACCGGCAGCCGCCCGCTGCACCATGAGCCGTGAGTCCCGCTCCGGTGCCCCAGGAACCCTCCTTGCCTCCCGGCGGAGCCTTCAATGCCAGGCTCAGCCCTTCCTCTCTCTCCCTCTGCAGGACGGCGTCTTTCGCTCCGGTTCCCGCTGCTGCTGCTGCTGCTGCTGCTGCCGTCGACGCCCCCCGTCCTGCCCGCGGACCCCGGGGAGCCCGCGCCGGGTAGGCCGCCCCCGGCTGCGCCCTGGCCCCTCTGCCCTCTCCCCTCCGGGCCGCCAGCTTCCCCTTTCGCTCGCGGAGCGGTGCCGGGAGGGAGGGCGCTGGGTCTGTGGGTGGGATGGGGGCTCTCTGAAGCCCCCCGGGCAGTGTGGCCTGGCCTGGGCTGGGGCTACAGGCTTGTTTTCTCGGGGAAGGGCAGGCGGGAATCCCGTGCTGGCTTGGGGCGCAGGGAGGCTCCTCCCCGCCCTCACCTGTTCTCGGCCCGCAGCTGCCCGACAGCACCGCTGTTTCCTGCGGGGCCTCTTTCGGAGGAAGCAGTGGTAACTGCGGGGGGCAGCGGCTGGCCAGTTCCCTTTCTCCAGCCTCCGACTTTCTGGGGATCCTCCGGATTCCCAGCCCCGGGGAAGTTCTCCGGCGAGGACCTGGGCACGCCACCCATTCTGGGAAGGCGGAGTTGGAAATATATTTACAGAGCTGCTTTCTTCCCTGGAGGTTTAAATCCTCTCCCACAGGTCCCCACTGGGCAGAGGAGGAAACTGAGGCTCAGACAGGGGCCATAACTCCCTCAAGCTCACACAGTGCGCCGCGGGCTCAGGGTTTGAACTTAGATCTACCTGATCTAGGCACTTTGAAAGGTCTTTCCACAGAAGAACTTCCCCCTCCCCTGACAGTGGACCCCGGTTTCCTCAACCCAAAGACGATGGGGAAAGTCAGATACTGTAAAATTCCACGCCCCTGGCCATGCATGTACAAGGTTCCAGGTGAAGGGATTCAGCCCTTCCTCAGCCAGCCTCCCTGCCTCAGCTTACTGCTTTTGTGCACGTGTGTGTGCTCACACATGGGCAAGGTACGTGCAAGGCCTGGACACAGTTTCCTCCAGCCCCTGGCTGTGAGAGCCATCCTTCTCTGGGTCTCCATTTCCTATCTGTAAATGGGGGTGAGAGGATGGGAGTGGGGGGTGGGGTCTGAGCTTTCTGCTGTGATGCTCCAGGGACTCAGTGCTCAGAGGAGAGAGCAAAGGTGTCTATGTGGACTGTGAATCAGACCAGGTTTTCTAAGGGAGAGGGTTTGAGTGGGTGGCATTTGGGGAAGCCCGGTAGAGGATGGATGGGGCTCCGGGCAAGAGTTCGGCTGTGAGCAAAGGCCTAGTTTGTGGGAAGAAGAGGAGGAAGACCCATGTGGCCAGCTCTTTACAGTTTGCAGAGCCTGGCTGTGTATGTTCACTTCTTTGGTGCTCACAATAGCCCTGGAGATGTGACAGTCCCTTCTGAGGCCCAGAAGGATGAGCACATTTGTCTGAGATCCTGGATCAGCCCAGTTCTTCCTCTGAGGCCCCCTTCTGCCCCATCCAGGACCCCCGGGGTAACCAAGGTTGGCCTGCCTGTCGCCTTGTCTGTTCACTAAGGCCCAGTGAGCATGGTCTATGCCATTCTGTTTTTTGCCTGTTCTACTTACCTTTATATCATTATATGTTTAAACAGAATGGGTTTTCTTCATTCCACAAATATGCCTGAAGGTTAGCTTTTCTGCTGGAGCCTGAGACAGAGCTGGGAAACGCTCCTAGTCTGATGGAGAAGACAGAAATGCCAACAGACTGCCATCCAAGGGGATCAGGGCCATGACCGTGGGGCTCAGGGAAGGGAGCAGTGGACAGGGCTGGCTGCCGGGGCTGGAGTGCCCGGCCCTGGGCCTGAGGGTAACTGGGGCAGTGAGTTGGATGGATGACTGGGGGTGAGACTGGAGAGGGGAACCACCAAGGAGGCTGCTGCAAGGGTCAAGAAAGGAGTGGTGACAAGTTGGTTGCGGGGCAGAGGTTTGGGCTGCACCAAGTCTATAAATAAACTGAGGTCATCTGACATGGGAAGCCGAAGCCTGTGTTTGTCCCCAGAGGGGCAGCAGAGGCCAATCTTCCACAAGATGAGGCTGCAGATGCACCTGGGGGCGGGTGTCAGGGGAGAATGTTGCTTCCGCCTGTTGTGTGGTGGCCGAGGTGGAGTCCAGCTTGGAGGGCAGGCTGTGCCAGGGGATCCTTCATGCTTGCTTCCAGCTCCTGGACTTGGCTTAGTGTTCTCTCCTTGGAGAGGGATACGGCAAGACCTTGGTGTCAGGTGGAAGGCCCTGAGGTCAGCTAACCCTGGCATATGGGGTGGGAACCCAGCCTATTCCAAGGCCTCCCTGCTACTCCTGCCGGCGCCTCCTATCTGCAGCACCAGCTGGGTCTGTGGGCCAGGATGGGGCTTCCTCTCTAGCTGCACTCCTCCAGCTGTGGGCCAGCCGTCAGGGCCTGGTGTGGTGGTGCCTGGCCTCCGGCTGCAGACCTGGCTGGATGTAGGAGCTGGGGCCCAGGTCTGACTAGTAGGTTATTTTATTCTCTGTGGCTGCCAAGCCTCTGGAGTTTCTCTAAATATTATTCTTAGGGGATTTCACTTCAGCCTCTTGTTGCCTGGCGCCTCTACATCCTGGAGGACTTGGTGTTCCCCCACTGTGTCCAGAGCCCTGACTCCTGGGCTTGGGGACATTTCCTTGCCTAAATCCTCAGAAGGTTCTGGAGCCAGGCTCTCCTGCCGTATGGGCCTGCTGATCAAGCCAACCTCGGGGGGGTCTTGAGGACTCAGTGAGGGCAAGTTGCAAGGTTGGCTGCTGATGGGATGGGGGAATCACATCAGTGTACATCATGGAGAGGGTAGATCATCTTCACCCAGACCAAAGAAGGTCTCCTCAGAGCCGGTCTGCTCCATCTTCTTCTTGGGATATACAGAAAAATGAGGTCCAGAGGATGGAAGGAACTTGTCCAAGGACACAGAGCCAGCAAAGAACATCTACCCTCTGGCACATCTTTGCCCAGTATCTACTTGGTGCCTGGCACTGTGCTGGGTGTGGGAACGCAAGACACATTGGACTCCGTGCCTGCCTCTCCCCAGTTCTCTTTCTTGGTGGTTTATTATGCAAGGTGTCCTCCACTGAGCCCAGAACTGGGCTGGCCCAAAAGCATGCAGGATTTAAGTTAGACTAAAGGAAGGCCTTCCTTAGCTCTGGTTGTGGCAGTGGCTGATGATCCCTCAGGAGTTCTGGTCTTGTTCATTTAACTTTCAGGTCTACATTGAAGGGTGACAAACCTACCTCCCCTGGGATCATTCCCAGCCTCCAGATCAAAGTGACTCTCCCTCTCCAAATCCAGGTCTGGAAGTCTCTAAGAGGAAGAAGGGAGGGGAAGAGAAAGGGGTTCCAGTCTTTGTTCTGTGACTTTGAAGTAGCGGGGTTGAGTAACCTCCTGCTTCCTGAGCCTTGGATGCATCCCTCATCCGCGCCATAGAAAGGTCTCACGGACCCCTCCTAGGGCGCGCTGAGCAGATCATAAGGTGAATAAGCATGGCTGTTGGTCAGCTAGAGCTCTGGCTTCCCCAGCTGTGGTCAGGCTCACCCCTGGGAAAGCGGCTCCCAGTTCCCTCTCTGCCCACCCTGACACCCCTGGGCCCCAAAGGCAGCTGTTGTCCTTGCTGGGGAGAATTTTTTCTACCCTGGGGCAGCTGGTGTTTATGAAAAGATCTGCAGGAGGAGGGAGGGAAAGTTGGACAGCCAGCCTGGTGGGGAGGAGCCTGGCAGCAGAGGCATCTCTGCTCCTGCCGGGGCAGGACTCTGGGGCCGTGCAGGAAGTTCTCGAACTAGATTCCGAGCCAGCAGCCCAGGGCTGAGGAGATGAGAGGTCTCTTTCGCCAAACTTGAGGTGGCTTGTTTCTTAGCTTCCTTTTATTAATTCCACCAACATCTGTAGAGCTCTGGCCACCACACCTGGATCCCCTGGGTAGCTGGATCTCTCCAGGAGCTGGGTTGAGTTCCAGCTGTTTGCGGGAGGAGAAAGTCAGGGAAAGTGTGGACCCTTCCCTTGGGGGCTTATGGAGTAGAGCAGGCCGAGCTGGGACACGGGGTGGGGTGAGGGGCAGCAGGAGGAGTGCTGTGTGGATTTTCAGGGGAGGCTGTCTGCTGGAAGCAAGGTGTGGGCTGGGGTAAACTTGGAGGGAATAGTTAGGAAGGAACGGTAGTCTGGGCAAAGGAAGAAGAGCTTTCGACTTTGGAGCTAAGGGACAGGGCGCCACAGAATGAGCTAGAAGGACCTCTGGAGACACTTCTGAGACCCCTACTGTGGGAGGGAGGGGGGAACTGGCCTGCTGGGAGGTGGGAGGACCTTGAGTGCCAGGGTTGGGAGCTGGGCAGTGGGGCTCCCGGGCAGGTAAATGAGGCAGGTGAGCAGTGTCCTGAGCGGGAGGGGTTAATGAGGAGGGTTCCGGGTCCTTGAGTGTCCTTGGCGTTTCTGGGCCTGCGGTTGTGGGAGGGCGAGGCTGGGTCCTGCCAGGTCTCTGTCCTGGGTCTCCGCCTGTGTCAGCCTGATAAGGCCTTTGTCCAGCCTTCTTCCCTTTCCATTGGCCCCTCCTTCCTACACCCCTGCAGGGGCCACAAAGATGCCATTGTGGGGGAATGGGGAGTTGCCAGGGTTTAAGCAAAATTATTTGCATGATTCTTATGATTTGCTTCTTGTTCGTGTGTGTGTGTGTGTGTGTGTGTGTGTGTGTGTGTGTGTTGGGGCGAGTTGGTGGTGGTGCTGGGGCCCTTCTCTCAGGGGCCCAGGGGGACCCTGCTGCCCAGGCCTCATGCTGCAAAGGGAGGAGGGATCATGCCTTGCCCAGGGTCATGCCCCCTGATCACAGCACTTTGAGGTGACCTCCCAGGTTTCTCTTGCCTTTTATTATCCTCTTGAACCCCTATTTAGTTGCACAAAGAATAGAAGTTCCCTGTAACCTTGGTTCTGGGCCCAGATAAAGAAGTACTATGTTTGCCGAGGGGCCCGGCGCTTTCTGTGGGAGGCTGAGTAAAAGCTCCTGCCAGGAGCCAGGGTTCTGGGTCTGCAGGAGGGCCCTGCTTTGTCCTTGGCCAAAGCTCCACCTCTCTCTGAGCCTCAGTTTCCCTTGCTGAGCAGTGAATAAGCATTGAGTGAATTCTAAGGAGTCTCTGACTTTGCTCTTTTTTTTTTTTTTTATCCTCACCCGAGGACATTTTTCCATTTTTTGTTCAGATAGAGTAGGAGGGAGAGAGAGAGAGAGAGAGAGAGAGAGAGAGAGAGAGAGAGAGAGAAACATTGATGTGAAAGGGGCACATCGAGTGGCTGCCACCCGCACAACCAACCAGGGCCGGGGACAAACTGCAACCGAGGTACACGCCCCTAGTGGGAACCGAACCCGGGTCTCTGGACCGCAGGTGGATGCTCCAACCGCTGAGCCAAACCGGCCAGGGCTGACTTTGCTCTTGAAGAATCACCCAGGCGGTGAAGATTGAGCCAGGGGGCTGTGGTGGACGAGACCTGGGTCAGACACAAAGGGGACTTCCTGCCGGGCTTTCTCCAGGAGGCGGGGCTGATGTCAGCTCTGCTCACCCTCTCGGTAGATTCTTCCAGCCACCAGTCTCCCAACCCTTGGTCCCTGACCGACCTCGAGATCGCAGAGCCCAGAACTGCCTCCCCTCCCTGCCCCCCAAGTGGGCCAAAGCTGGGTCTGTCAGGAATGGGAGCCGAGACCCCTCAAACCCCTACTCTCCGCAGGGCTCTGGGAAACTTCTTTCCTTGCACTTGATTGCTGAGCTGGAAGGGAAGCCATGGGCCGTTGGTCTGGTGGGACTTGCTGGGTGACCCGCCGGGGTCTCCCCTCATCTGGTCTCAGTTTCCCATCTTCAGGTGGACGCTATGATACCCGCTCTCCCTTTCCTTCTGCACGAATAGAGGGCTGGTGGGTGATCTCATCTCCCTAGTGTCCGGGTGCCCAGAGGTTGGGGGCTGGTTTGAGAGAGCCCCCCCATCCTTGCCCCTTTTCTCAACACCACAAACCCTGCCCTTGGTGCTGGGTGCTGACCTGGCAGGAAGTGAATGCTCTAGAAGCCTGTGGCTTCAGGGTCTTATCAACTAGCTATTTCCTAGCCTTCGATGCTACAGCCTGGTGCCTGGACTCTTCCCCTGCCCCCCACTGGTGGCCGCAGGGAGGGGGGACTTCCCTGGGGACCCTGATGGGGCCACATTGGAGATCCAGAGCAGGGCCCAGAAACAGCAGGGTCGGGTTTTTTGCTCTTAGCTGTGGGAGCAAAAGGGCCCTTAGGGTGAGTTAGGACAGGACTGCCACACTGGCCCCTGCCTCTGGCCCCACCGAGAGGTCACCCCGGGGAGTCTCTGATCTCTGTTTCTCATCCACAGTGAACCCCTGTTGTTACTACCCGTGCCAGCACCAGGGCGTCTGTGTCCGCTTCGGCCTCGACCGCTACCAGTGTGACTGCAGCCGCACGGGCTACTCTGGCCCCAACTGCACCACTCGTGAGCTGGGCCTCCAGCCCCCACTCCTTGTATCCTGGGCCCCTCCTGCTTCCCGGGGCTCGTCCTCGAGACGCCCACTTCTCGCCCTCCTCTCGGGCCACTGCCCGGCTCCTTCTTGCCTGGCTTTAGTCTCTGACACTCTCCCGGACCTCAGTCCCCTCGCCCTGGTTCTGGCTCCGTGGCGTCTTCACTGCCCAGCCCCACCCTCGCTCCCTGTCCCTGTGCCCTGTCCTCACCCCTGGTTCTGGCTGTCATGTGTCATCACTCCCAAGAACCCGTCCTTACCCCACCCCAGAGGGTCTGCCCTGTCCCATCCTGGCCCTTGTTCCCGGTTCCCCTCTCCCACGCTGGCTGCTCCGGCCCTGCCAGTAGCGCTGCCTGAGTGGCTCCCACTGTCCCCGCAGCCGAGCTGTGGACCTGGCTCCGGAATTCACTGCGGCCCAGCCCCTCTTTCCTGCACTTCCTGCTGACGCACGGACGCTGGTTCTGGGAGCTTGTCAATGCCACCTTCATCCGCGAGATGCTCATGCGCCTGGTACTCACAGGTAGGTGGGGACAAGGTCCCCTAATGTGGAGCCAGAAATCCCGCCAGTTCTTGGAATTCTTGGCATCTGATAAGGGCAGTGGGTGGGGAGACTCTTGATACCAGATCAAACAAGTTCAACCCAAGAGAAAGCGGGGAGGGGGGGATGGGGTGGAAACTCCTTGTCACCATTATCTTTGCCCTTCACAGCGCGTTCCAACCTTATCCCCAGCCCCCCCACCTACAACTTAGACCACGATTACATCAGCTGGGAGTCCTTCTCCAACTTGAGCTATTACACGCGTGTTCTGCCCTCCGTGCCCCAAGACTGCCCCACACCCATGGGGACCAAAGGTAAGGGAGGTGGGTCAGGGAGCTGGGGATCACAGGAGATGCTCAGTTCTTCTCCCTGGGAAAAGGCAGGCAGAGGAACAATTATTGACCCATTTCACAGAGAGGTGGACCAAGGCAAGACATGTGCCATATGCAGAACCAGGGTTGAGGACAGGTCTGGAGAATGAGGCCAGGACAGGGTGGTGGAGGGTCTCGCCTGAGGTCACCTAAAGTCAGTGGCAGTCAGACTCTTGTTTCCATTTCCAGGTTGCCTCTTTGCCCGAACCTTGTCTACTCACCAGGTGGGATCTTGCTGGGAAGGGAGTGACTTATATGTTTAAATGTAGGAGAGAAGTAATAGTGTGTTTTTATTTGTTTCTTCACTAATGTAAATAGCTTTACATGCTTCATCAGTGCAGTTTACATATAAGGTCAGATTTTTTTCCCTTTAGTGCCCAAACCCCACTTTGTCTCATTGGCGGGGGTCTTTCCTCTAAGGCTTTCCTTCCATTCCCTCGCGACTGTCCAAACACCTGAGAGCGTACCCAGTTCAGAGCCATCATTTCAGCTTAAATTACAGAGGACAGAGAGGCATCCGTCTGCCACCGCCATCACTTCAGTTTCCACCACATGGTGTCGCTGTTGAGCCCCGGTCCCGTGCAGCCCTAGGGTTGTGTGCTTCTCAAGTTCAAACGTGCAAACGTACAAATGTCCTTACTTGGGCCTACACTGATGGTTTGCACACATGTGCACCTACTGTTCCTAAAGCATCACTATTCTGCCAGAATAGAGAATCTTGCAGAGTTTCTGGACTCTGCCCACACTTTGCTGGAACCTGTCCAAGTCCCCAAAAGGGTTCCCTTTGGGGTGCTTGATATTCTTTTCTGCTAGAGGAAACCAGCCAGCCATTTCAATTCAAAGAACTAGCCTAGTGGTCTTGAACCTTCAACATTGGGCCTCACATGAGGTGTTATGAACGGATGCCTTTACCAAATCCAATTACTCCCTTCCGAAAAGGCATTGGGTACCAACTCATCTGACACTAACATATTTAAGGAAGGCCTCGTAACACTTATTCTCATAATGACAGACACCTGTTTCAAGGTGACTGCTGTCTTTGTCCCAGACTTAGACAGACTGGCATCCTTTAAAATAGGTTGTCAAACTCTAGCCTGCAGCTGAGTAGATGTGACAGAGACTGTATGTTGGCAAAGCTTTTCATATTGGCTCTCTGGGCTTTGACAAAAGTAGTTGGCTGACCCTTGATGGAAAAGATTCCACCTCACCAGTTCTCTGTCATGTTTACATTACTTCGTGTACTTCTCCATCCCACTGCATAAAATAGTTTCATTTGTCCTATTTTAGAGATGAGGAAGTTGAAGTTCAGAGGAATGAAATGACTGATCTGAGTTCACACAGTTTGTGAATGTCATAGTCAGTTTCAGACACAGGCTACCCTGATCCAGGGTTGGGAGTCCACTTCTTTTTTTTTTTTTTTCTTTCTTCTTTCTTTTTGGTTAACTTTTTCAACATTGCAAACACACACAAAAGTTGAGGGGAAAGTAAAATGATCTCCTGTGTATTCATCTTGCAGTTTCAAGACTTTTGCACAGTTTGCCAGTCTTATTTCATCCATCTTCTCTCACCTTATTTTTTATGGGGCGTTTCAAAGCAAAGTCCAGATATCATATCACTTCATCCAGATAGTCTTCTAGGGTCCTTTGGTAGCGAACGTGCAAGAGACCATCTGGTGGGAGGAAGGAGGTCCTTGGAGGCCGCTCTGGGCTCCCTCACGACCAGTTTGGTCTGGTGAGCCCAGAGGCCCTGGGGAAAGATGCAGAGAGGAGGCATCTGGTCATTCCCATCTCCCCAACCAGGGAAGAAGCAGCTGCCAGACGCCGAGCTCCTGAGCCATCGCTTCCTGCTCAGGAGGAAGTTCATACCTGACCCCCAGGGTGCCAACCTCATGTTTGCCTTCTTTGCACAACACTTTACCCACCAGTTCTTCAAAACTTCTGGCAAGATGGGTCCTGGCTTCACTAAGGCCTTGGGCCACGGGGTGAGTACCTAGGAGGAGCTCAGGGCTTTTCTGGGCCTAACTTGGCATGTGCAAGGTGTCATCATCGGTGGGGCAGGACCTCCTGATGACCCGAGTGGACCTTCTCTCTGACCTCAGGTAGACCTTGGCCACGTTTATGGAGACAATCTGGACCGTCAGTATCAGCTGCGGCTCTTTAAGGATGGGAAACTCAAGTACCAGGTAGGGATGGACGTAGGGATGGGGCTTTGGGAAGGGCCTTCCACCAAGGTCTTCCTGGCAGAGGCTGTTGCGGGCCCCGGGAGGTGTCTTGAGAGGGGCAGCCACAGGAGCTGGAGGTGACAATCAACCCTGGGAGCAGGTGCCAGGCCAGAGACGCAGACAAGCAGAAATGGCCTCTTATGTCCTCCTGGGAAGTAGATTTTAGGGCTTGATCGGATATGGGCATTTCCAGTTTGCCTTTGTTCATTAAATTTTCCCACCATATTAATTGGGTACCACGAGGTGCCTAGCACAGGTTATGGAGCAGTGATCATACCTTTGGGCCCTGGCCTCCAGGAACTCTCAGCCATAGATGTAGCATTAGGATGCTAGTCCCATGAAGTCATTTTGTCTGAATGTTTAACCCTGTCCAACAGAAATATGATGTGAACCGCAGATGTAATTAACACCTTTCTAGTGGCCACATTAAAAGAGGTAGAAAGAAAAGTGAAATTGATTTTAATTATCTATTTCATCGAACCCCTATATATCCAGAATATTATCATTTCAACATGTAATCACTACCAAGATTATTGACACAGTGTCTCACCTTTTTTTTTTTTTTATGCTAAATGTTAGAAATCTGATCTGTATTTTCACACTTATAGCACATCTCAATTTGGCTGCTAAATTTTCCCTGGGGATACTGGGTCTGTATTTAGATTTCATTAAAAAAAAAACAGTTGGAAAGGTAGAATTGTGCCCCAGTTTTTCTAAGTGCACTTAGAGATTTCCCCAGAAGCTGAAGTACCCACTTCGAAATTTAAATCTCAATGAAATAAAACAAACAACTGATGAGGTCTTCATCCACCCCGGCCACATTTACAGTGCTTCATAGCTACATGGAGAGCCTACCACATTGAACTGTGAAAATCTAAACAAACAAAAACCAAACTGGAAATTTCACGGCTGAACCTTTAGGGTTAACAGCAGTACTTGGCACATAGTAGGTCCTCGGTGTGTATTTACCGAATGAATGAAGAAACTGCCATTTAATTGATGACACTTGTGATAACCGCCCCCGGGAAGAAGCCACGAGAGTATTCACAGGATGGCAGTCTCCCCTAGGAATTACACACAAGCCCGGAGCTGCGTGGAGTTTGAGGAGTTAAGGGGACAGGCTTTCCCGGGCAGCAGGTGCCAAGGCTCGGACAGGGGAAGCGGCTTGAGGGACTCGGAGGGAGTGGAATAGGACGATGGACACCTGAGTGGTGGTGGGTGAGGGTGGAGACCTCTGCAGGGCTATCTTAAAGATTTCGGACTATTGCCCAGAGCAGAGAGAGGACTTGGAAGGGGTTAAGCCAGGGAACGATAGGAGATGGGGGTTTTCCGGAAAGATTGCTCTGGCCGCAGTACTGAGAATGGAAAAGCTGGGGACGGGAGGAAGAGTAAGGACACTTCCAGAGGAGTCAGGGTGGAGAATGAGGGCGGGTTGGAGCCGCTGGTGGTAATGAGGATAGGGAGGAAGGGACCCAGTTAGGAAGTAAAGTCAGCAAGTCTTGATTAGGAAGAACGGGCAGGCACCCCATGTGATGTGGGCAGCTGTATGCAGAGCGGGAGGGAGTCAGATGTGGTAGGTGCAGGCACCCTGCCCCGTCCCCAGGTTGCCAGGTGGCCCCATCCTGCAGATGCTGGACGGAGAGATGTACCCACCCTCGGTGGAAGAGGCACCTGTGGTGATGCACTACCCCAAGGGCATTCCGCCCCAGAGCCAGATGGCCGTGGGCCAAGAGGTGTTTGGACTGCTTCCCGGGCTCATGCTTTATGCCACGCTCTGGCTGCGTGAACACAACCGCGTGTGTGACCTGCTGAAGGCTGAGCACCCAACCTGGGGAGATGAGCAGCTCTTCCAGACGACCCGCCTCATCCTTATAGGTGAGGACTCCACACCGGCCCTGCCCTGGAAGGTAGTGCCTTCCGTCCTGAGAAGGAGGGGGTGGGAGGCTTGGGGACAGAGAACTGGGATTAGGAATCCTAGCTCTTCTACTTACTAGCTATGAGACCTGAAGCAGGCCCATTCCCCTGTGCGAACCTCCGTTTCCAAATCTGGACATTGGGGATGATGAAGGTTGTAAGGACTTGTTGAGATGATGAATGGGAAGGCACTCAGCACATAGTAGGCCTTCAGAAAATGGCTGTGATGGTGATATTAGCTGGGTGACTGGCAGCCCATTTCATTAGCCATCCCAAGTCTTATTGTCCCCATGCACAGAGACATCCTCAACCAGTGCAAGTCAGACCCCAGGCTCCCTGGCCCTCAGAAATCCTCCTGTTTCCTGGCCTGCATGTGGCTGGCTTCCTGGAGTTTGGTAGCTTCTAGATGACTCAGGGAGAGGATATTTTTGTGTCTCCTACGGGGACGAGTCTGCAGCCTAAAATGTCAGATGGTTTCCTGTCTTGAAGCTTGGCCTCTGACACCCCCGCCAGACCGTGTTCACTCTGAGTCACCAGTAAGACCCCTCCCCCATCTCTGGGCATTGCTGGGGATGGCTGGTCCCAATTATAGTGCCTGATTCACGGGAGCTTGAAAGAGCCAGGCAACAGGAATAGGTGCAGCCTAAAGAAGAAGAAAGGGCTGGTTCTGAAGTCCCAGCATTGCAGGGACCATGACCAGAGAGGGCAAGTCTGTGGCTGGAGGCTGCCCAGCAAGCATATTGACTGATGATAAAACTGTGACCAAGCTGTGACCAAAAGTGATAAAGGCGAATATCCAGTGCTTCATTTAACCCTCCTCAACCACCTTATGAACCAGATATGATTTCTCTTGTTGTGAAAACTAAGATTCAGAGAAGGCAAGTGAATTCTCCAAGGCCACTCAGCAGAGGAAGACTTGAACCAGGTCTGGTTGCCAGCAAGGTTGATGCTGTTTCCGCCACTTCACAAGGGACGCTTGTTCCTGGGTGGGGAGGGGTTGCGAGCTGCAGTCCGATCTTTAGCGGGTGCTCGGGTATGGGGAGGGCATGTCCCCTCACACTTACCCGTGTGCTCCTGCTTCTCACCTGCGTGCTTGACACCTCCTATATGCCAGTCCCTGTGCCAAGCGGTTTAGATGCTCGTATTCTCTCCTCCCAACAACCCTATGAGCATTATTGTGCTGATATTATTATAACACACATTTCACAGATGTGAAAGGGAAAGTGAATTCAGAGAGACTAGGTCGCCGGGCCCAGGCACCAGTGGCTAGAAATGGTGAGACCAGGATGAGCACCCAGGTCGGCGATTGCAAACCCAGTGGGTCCGGATCAACTTGCTAAAAGCCCATGTGCCTAACGCCGATGGGCCAAAATATCCGACTCTTTTCATATCTAGGTGACCAGTTTTCATTTTGTTCAGAATGTTCCATTTGCGTCCTCCCTGGCTGTCCCTTGTAGCTGGTTACTGCGGGCGCAGAGGGAGATCTGTGCCCAAGCACTCGGATGCGTCCGAACGTGTGAGAACTGTATTGGGTCTAGATTCACCTCTGTCCTCAGCGTCCCTCTCTTGCTGCTGCCGCTGCTTTGAGGGGTCTCTTCCACACACCCCACCCCTCCCTGAGTTAACCTCCACTTTTCCAAGTTTTCATGGGCTGTGGGCGGGTGGTCACCCGAGGGTCCCAAGACCAGTTCTCAGACACTTCCTTGGCATGTCCTGGTTAGCTGGGCCCACAACCTCCCTTTGGAATGTAGGAACACCCGGCAGGTTCTTGTCAGTCCGACCGGAGACAGGAAGTTCCATTTTCACACTCCTTCCCCAAAAGACACATGGATGTAGCCAAACAAAACAAAACAACAATAGCAGCCATAAAGAAACACAAAGCAAGCCCCTTGCCACGAACCGGCCTGCTTCCCCAGCCGCTGGTGACGTGGCGTGTTCTGCTGACCCTGCCCCAGGGGAGACCATCAAGATCGTGATCGAGGAGTACGTGCAGCAGCTGAGCGGCTACTTCCTGCAGCTCAAGTTCGACCCCGAGCTGCTGTTCGGCGTCCAGTTCCAGTACCAGAACCGCATTGCCATGGAGTTCAACCATCTCTACCACTGGCACCCGCTCATGCCTGACTCCTTCAAGGTGGGCTCCCAGGACTACGGCTACGAGCAGTTCCTGTTCAACACGTCCATGCTGGTGGACACTGGGGTGGAGGCCCTGGTGGACGCCTTCTCTCGCCAGAGCGCTGGCCGGGTAAGCCTCGAGGAGCCTTGGTGAGGGCAGGTGGGCTGTGGGCTCCGACACACGTGGATCCAAATTCCAGCCTTCTTTTCTGAAATTTGAATGGGGACAGGGTCACGCCTCCATGGCATCTGTGAGCATTCTTTCTCTTGTCCTTTGTCCACTCAGTGATACCAGGCGTTGGCTGCTCCAGCTGCTGGGGCTGTAGTGGGGACCAAGGTCAGTGTGGTTCTTGGGTCCTTGTCCTTTTGGTGCTTATACCTTGGAAAGGAGCAATAGCTATACAACAGCTAGCATCATTGAGCACTTGTTACATGCTAGGCGCTGTACCAAGTGCTTCTCTGATGTGAATTATTAAAAAAAAAAAAGAAAGAAAAGAGCATGTTAGGAACCACAGCCCACAAAATCTCACAGAGCCCACAGTGCTCTGGGAATGCGGACAGAAGCTGCTGAGCCAGAGCTGGGAACTGTGGATAAGGAAGGGATGTCTGAGCACAGATCCCAAGGATGCACAGGGACCGCCCAGGGAGAGAGGTAGTATTAATGGCAGGGGCGATCACATTGCAGACGGCGGGCACAGCATGGCAGAGGCCCCGAAGTCAGAGGGCATAGCGGGGGGGGGGGGGGAGGGGATCAGGAGAACATTCAGGGTTTGGTAATATGTGTGAAGGTGCCTGCACACTAGCTCGTCTGTACATGGGCTGAGTGTCCTCCCAACCAATTCATATGGTGGAAGTCCTAACCCTCAGTGTCTCAGAATGTGACTATTTGGACAGTCTTTAAAGAGGTAATGACTGTTAAATGGGGCCATTGGGTGGGCCCTGGTCTGACTGGGTTCTGATAAGAAGAGATGATACAGACGTGCACCGAGGGAAGCCATAGGGAGAGAGGAGGATACAGACGTGCACCCAGGGAAGCCATAGGGAGAGAGGAGGATACAGACGTGCACCCAGGGAAGCCGTAGGGAGACAACGGCCATTGTGAATCTCAGAATGACAACCTGGCTGACGTCTGGACCTTGGACTTCTAGCCTCCAGAATAGCGAGAAAACACATTTCTGTTGTTTAAGCCACCCAGGTGGTGGTACTCGTTATGGCTGTTCTAGAAGACGAACACAGCCCTTCCCCCTCGACTCCCTGGCGAGCTCCCTCTTCAGCCTCCCATGTCCTCCAGCTCAGCTCCTCTCACCCCGTTTCTCTCTGATCTTTGTTCGTGAGCCTTATCAGGAAGTTGTGACACCATATGGCTTTCGGTTTCCTCCTGGTTTTGACTGAAATTAGCGTATGTTGCCGCCAGTGGGCAGCTGCTGGCGGCTTTACGGCCTCTCTTCTCTGTGGGGACACAGATATGAACAGAGACAATAACTTTTGTTAAAACATGTGGGGCTGCATGTTTCCAAAGAATCTTAAGCAGGTCCAGGCTGATGCACGTGAAAAGCCCTGCGGTTTTCTGGCGCGAGGCAGAAGGGCAACAGAAGTGGGCTGACTCCTGGGATACTGAAGAGAGCCCGCGAAGTGATAAGACGAGGCTTCCCTTGATAATCACCACACATGGCCACCCTCTTGGGGTCACCACTGTGATAACTGCTCTGCCTCCTTTATCTTGCTTATTTCACAAACACGTCAGGTGGATGCTCTTCCCCTCCCCGTTTTTGCATAGGAGGAGATTGAGACAGCTTCAGTCTTTGTTTTTGCAGCTGCAAAAGGACTACTAGCCAGGTGGCTTTAAACAGCAGACACTTGCTCTCTCCTAGTTCTGGAGGCGAGAAGTCCAAAATCAAGGTGTTGGGCGAGCCATGCTCTCTCCGAGGCTCCTGGGGAGACCCTGTTCCATGCCTGGCTTCGGCTCCAGGTGGTTGCCAGCAATCCCTGGTGTTCTTTGGTTTGTTGAAGCAAGGCTCCAACGTGGTGTTCTCCCTGTGTCTCTGGTTTTTCTTTTATCAGGACATCAGTCATTGGATTAGGGACCACCTTCCCAGAGTATGACCTCTAATTACATCTGTTTCCAGATAAGGTCACATTCAGAGGTTCTGGGGGTTAGGACTTCAACATATCTTTTTGGGGCACACAAGCCAACCATAACAGCCCCGAAGCTTGTAGATGGTCGAGCTGAGATCGGCACCAGCCTCTTCTCGCTTTGCTTCAATATGAATGATTTCACCCAAAAATGCTTTTCCTCTTTCCCATCCAATTATACGTGTTCTACCCACATGGAACTCTTTCCTAAGCATTAACGTTATCAATTCATCCTGAGCAACAACAGACCTTCTTTAGACCAATATTCCTTAGTAGTAATGAATCAGAATATTTTTTTCTGGAGCCTTCTTTATCCCACCAGCTTACCTGGGCTTTGAACCCTGTGCCTCGCCCTCCTCAGGATACCTCATTACCACTGGTCTTGAAGTTAAACTTCTAGTTAAGCTAAATTTGTTTATCTATCAGCTTTCATGGCTGGGTTTTAGCTCCATTCTTGCTAGCTTATGAGCATTGCCTTCCCAGAAGGCTTGGCAGAAGGAAGAAGTAATGGCCATGGTCACCTGCATTCCTGTGAGTGACTTCACCTGGTCTGACTGGTGTGACATGATACTCTGTCTTCCTTCCTTCTAGCTCTGAGTCTTCGTGGCAGCTGGTTTCTAGGGGTTCACTTTTTTTTTGAAAAAATTTTTTTTATTCCTCACCTGAGGATATTTTTCTATTTATCATCAGACAGAGTGGGAGGGGGAATAGAGAGAGACAGAGAGAAACATCGATGTGATAGAACCACTGGCTGCCTCCTGCACAACCTGACCAGGGCCGGGACAAACCACATCTGAGATACGTGCCCTTGACCAGAATTGAACCTGCGACTCATTGGTCCGCGGGCCGACGCTTTAACTGCTGAGCCAAACTGGCCAGGGAAGGGTTCACTTTTTAATACGATATACTTGGTAAATTTTGTTGCATCTCAACACTACGATACAGGGAATGGAAAGCAATAGAAATTCCCTGCAGAATTCCTTAAAAGATTAAACCTCCCTGTTCCATGAGAAGAACTGATTTGGAGAGAGACAGACACATGTCAGTTCTGTCACGTACAATATTAAACACGTTCAGGAAAGCGCTAATGTGTCCGTCCATCCTTCTGTTTCTAACCTTTGCCGGCCCAGAGAACCTCCTGTCCCTCTAGATTTCATTTCCAGAGCGGGAGCGCCTGTCCCTCTGCCTGGGTCCTGGCTCTGGTCATACTGACCATCTTGTCTGCAAAGTTGCTGAACCTAATGATTCCAGAACTTTCCTTCATAGGATCAGGCCCCCAGCACGGTGAGGGCGAGGTTGAGCCTTGCTTCTGTCCCAGCTCAGGAAGGACTCCTGACCCGAAGTTCTTTTCCAGGAGAGTGTGGCCAGGTTCTCAGACCACAGCTGTGTTTATTTCTTGGCAGATTGGTGGGGGTAGGAACATGAACCCCCACGTCCTGCACGTGGCCATCGATCTCATCAAGGAATCCCGAGAGCTGCGGCTGCAGCCCTTCAACGAGTACCGCAAGAGGTTTGGCATGAAGCCCTACACCTCCTTCGAGGAGTTCACAGGTGAGCAGCTGCTTCCTGGACACGGTCCCGGCCCTCAAGGCACTTGCCCTGAAGTGAGGGCGACATCGAGGAAACGGAAGAGGCCAATGCGTGACCAGCACTGTGGCTGGGATTACGGGGGGTGTGGGATAGAAAATGACCCCACTCGGGGGGAGAAGCTGGCTTCTGAGATGGGTTTGAAGGTAAAGGGGGATTCTGGGTAAAGAATGAAGGGAAGAGCATTCTAGGTAAAGGAACAGAGAGTGCAAAAGCACAGAGACCATAACGAACGAGCCTACTTCAGAGAACAGTCGTAGGTGTGGCTGGAGCAAGGAGCTTATGTGGGGGTGGGGCAGGGGTAGTGATGGGAGGTTGGCGTCAAATTGCATAGAATCTTGAGTTTTATGCTAAAGATTTTCAGTTTTATTTTGTCTAGTGGATCCTAAATATTCATTTGTGGACCAGTTAGCTAAGAATTGCTTAGAAAACTGATTAGAAATACCAAATCCTAGATGTCTCTCCCAGAGACTGATTCAGTAGGCCCGAGTGGTGCCCAAGACTCTGTGTGTGTGTGTGTGGGGGGTCGTTATTGTTGCTGATTCCCAGCTATTGGGCAGCCAAGTTTGAGAACCCTTGTCACAGATATTGGGAAGCCACTGAAGGCTTTTGATGAGGTGTGACATGATCCATGGCTGTGCCCAAGTGCCCCAGGGAGGGTGGATTTGAGGAAACAGGTAGGGAAGTTCAATGTCTGTCTCCTGTGATAGTCCAGAGAGGCGGAGATAACTCTACCACTCAGTCTCTGTGTGAGTTCCGACAAGTTACATTACATCTCTGAACTCCAGTAGAACGTCAGCTTGTAGAGCAGGATTCGTCCCTAAAGTCTGCCTGTGAGGGGAACAAGATGGGTAGCTTCTCCCTGTTGCAATGATCAGGTAATGAGGACACAGAGAAGGGAGATGAGTTACAGAGCCAGGCCCTTGATTCCTTCTTTAGTAGCAAATCCCTTCCTAGATGCAGCCCCGGAGACGGGTGGTCAGTCAGACCAGGTTTCAGGGCATGTGCTCAATTGCTCCAACTGTTTTCCTGAAGTCCCTTATTTTCCCCAGGAAAAAAGTGGACCTAGAAGGTTCCCTCCCCAGATGAACCTCAGAGGGTGGTGGTGTGATTCTGACTCTAGCTTCTCCCCCTGGTAGGAGAGAAGGAGATGGCGGCTGAGTTGGAGGAGCTGTATGGAGACATCGATGCCTTGGAATTCTACCCGGGGCTGCTTCTTGAGAAGTGCCATCCGAACTCCATCTTTGGGGAGAGTATGATAGAAATCGGAGCTCCCTTTTCCCTCAAGGGCCTCTTGGGGAACCCCATCTGTTCTCCAGAGTACTGGAAGTCCAGCACGTTTGGTGGCGAGATGGGCTTTGACCTTGTCAAGACGGCCACACTGAAGAAGCTGGTTTGCCTCAACACCAAGACTTGTCCCTATGTTTCCTTCCATGTCCCCCACGGCGCCCCACAGGAGGATGGGTCAGCAGTGGAGCGGCCGTCCTCTGAGCTCTGAGGACAGCAGCATTCTGAAGGGTAGAGCTTTCTTCTTGTCTTTCCAGAGTGCTGAGGCCAAGGCGAATAGCCTTAGACGCTGGGTTTCTAGTGTGGCATCGAGAGTGTATCAGGGTTGAAATTTAGAACTTTGTGTCTCTCACCCGTTATGTGGAATATTGTGGTCGTGTATGGCACCCGAGAATACTGAATTCCTGGTTAACCATTCGGAAAGTTAGAAGTGGTTCTCATTGGCATGCCAGACAACTGGGTTCCTGGCTGACAATCGAGAGTGTCAGATTTCTGGCTGATTTGGAATCCAGGCATTCTGGAACGCGGAGCCCGTGATGAAATCGTCTAGAACACCAGTGTTCTTGTGTTGCATTCTAGACTTCTGATTGGCAAGTCAGAATGTTGTGTTCCTGGCTGCCGATCCCAAACAGTGGCTGGAATGCCAGACAATCCAGGTCTGAATGTCTAGAATGTTGATTTGATTCATTTTCCTGGTCAGGGAGAGATCCACACAGAACAGGAGACTCTAATGTCTACCAAGAATGCATTGCCTGAATCTGTGCCTGCAGTGACGGAGCAAGGAGGGGGGTGGTCTTTCTGGGACCCCGACTTAGACCCCGGTTCGAGGATATAGAGAGAACAAGTGGGCTTTTCCCAGGCCACTCTGTCTCCAGCCAGGTCTTGACTCATGGCAGCTGTTTCTCATGAAGCGAATAAAGTCCTTTTTCCAAATTGCCTGCTATGTATCTCTTGTGATTGCATCCTCAGAAGCAGAGGCAACACAGAAATGACCTTTCTCCTCGCCACAGCCAGATGTGCTCAGGGTTGCAGCATGGGACTTTCCACTGGGATCCCTGGGGCTTGTCACAGTCCTGATCATCCCGATGCTCCGTCCACCTCATGGGTTAGCGTCACCGCTTCCAGACAGCTCTCCCAAAACACACAACTCCCCAGCCCCAGGAGAGGTCGCATTCAGCCCCCAATGCCTGATGAAAACAGCTTTCTCCCTTACAGAGCGTACAACAGAGAGAGCACCTACTCTGCGCCAGTTTTACACACTTTATTCTCCCGAAGGAGGTGGTATAAAAATCCCCATTTTGAAACGGAGGAAACGGGGACTGTGGGTAGTCAGGTGATGTGCCCCCACAGATGCCAGAGCCAGGTTGGGACTCAGGTCTGGCTGAGCCCAGAGCTGTGCTCCACCCGACCCCACGCCCACCCCTGCCATCCAGCTTCCACTAGTTTCCTGGTTTAACTCAGGTCCAGGCTTGATCTTATCTGTAGCTCAGGGTCAGAGGCAGAAGGTGGGGTGTAGCTTTCAAGTTACTTGCGTGCAATTTGTTCAATCACAAATATTTATCTTCTTAACTGCTGACTACATGACTCTTCCAGTGGGGGAAGAGCAGATGGTCAGTAAGAAAACAATAAGTGCCTTGGCTGGTTTGGCTCAGCGGTTAGAGCCTCGGCCTGCGGTCCAGAGAGAGCAGGGTTCAGTTCCCGCTAGGGGTACGTATCTCGGTTGCAGTTTGTCCCCGGCCCTGGTTGGATTGTGCGGGTGGCAACCACTCGATGTGTCCCTTTCACGTCGATGTTTCTCTCTTTCTCTTCCCCCCTCCCACTCTATCTGAACAAAAAATGGAAAAATGTCCTCGGGTGAGGAGAGAAAGAAAGAAAGAAAGAAAGAAAGAAAGAAAGAAAGAAAGAAAGAAAGAAAGAAAGAAAGAAGAAAGGAAGGAAGGAAGGAAGGAAGGAAGGAAGGAAGGAAGGAAGGAAGGAAGGAAGGAAGGAAGGAAGAAAGAAAGAGAAAGAAAGAGAAAGAAAGAAAGAAAGAAAGAAAGAAAGAAAGAAAGAAAGAGAAAACAATAAGTGTGATGTCCCTGCTGACTCACTCCGCTCTGCCCTCCACTGCTTGACCCCTGAGCACACAGACAGACCCTCTCCAGAGCCACACAGACCCTCCATAGCTGGCAAAGAGAGGAGAGAGGTCAGAAGGGTAAGGGAAGAGGTTGAGAAAGGGCCTTCGTGCTCTGTACTTAGGGCTTAGAGGTCCTGGGGGACAACAGTGGCCCAGGAACAATGGGGCAAATGGGGTCTAAGCTGAGGATCCCTGGGGCTGGGCCTCCTGACTCATGGTCCAGAAAGCCCTTGTCTCTCTTTTGCTGGCTGGAGCTGCCTCCACCCCCTCCTGGCCCTATTAATGCAGAGAGTGCAATCTTTGCCTGCTCCCCCAGTTGCTCTGATCTGGAAGGACCCTTTGGGTGCTGGAGAGTGGGCATGAAGTGCTTGTGTCTTGTCTTACTTGCTTGTACCCCTTTCTGCTGCTATCCCTACTTTGCCTGAGAATCCACGTGTCTTGTTTGTTTCAGTCTTGGTGGCTCCATCAGTGACCCTCTCCTGGCCAAAGGAGAATCAGTCCTGGCCAATCAAATGCCCCTCCTGATCAGTCGGCCCTGAGTGGAGTTGCCTAGGGGTTGAGATGACAGACTCTGACTCATGCCCATAGCTGGGCTCAGAAGGGCCTATCAGTACCTGCTGCACTAGGGAAGCCTACATTCCTGACATCGAGACTTTAGCTTTGCCTTCCATCCTTTGGGGCTGCTCCTTGAATCGAGACTGGTCAGAGTTGGGGTCCTTTGCTTGCAACCAAACCTTAACAGCTGCTGGCCTGAGGGGGCAGAGCAGTACGATGGCTCTGGAAGGAATTTTCATCAGTGGAGACACAATCAGACTAGTGCGTTAGAAAGCTGAACGGAGAGCAGAGCAGGAAAAACCAGAGGCCGGCAGAACAGTGAGGAGGCTGTGGCCACGGTCCAGCTGAGAGGCAAGGGCAGCGCGGGCTGGGCGGAGGACTGTGGGATGGCAGGAGGGGATGGTTTCAGTGACAGTCTTTTCTTGAATGCAGCTGCCTAGGTTGAATGGACTTTGTTTTGTATGGACAACTGTGTATGGAAATTTTGCAAATGAAAACTTTGGTCGAATTTACCAGGAAGGCTTCTTAAAAATGAAAGATCTTAATGATGAAAATATTCATGCCCATTCCTGAAATTTTGATTTGGCAGGTGTGATGGGTAGTATTGCTTCATCTTGGCTGGACTACAGTTATTTAATCAAAAACTAATCTAGATGTGGCTGTGAATGTACTTTGCAGACATGGTTAATATCTCTAATTGGCTGACTCTGAGTAAAGTAGATTGTTATTTGTAACGTGGGTCGGCCTTATCTAATCAGTGGAAAGAGCCTTAAGAACAAAAACTGAAGGCTTCCGAGAACAGAAATTCTGCTTCAAGACTGCTGCATCAAACCTGAATTTTCAGCCTGCCAGCCTGCCCTATGGATTTCAGACTTGCCAACAATGACAATCATGTGAGCCAATTCTAAAACTAAAGCCACACACGCACACACACACACGCACACACACGCACACACACACCCACATAGATATGCACACACACCCACATAGATATGCACACACACCCACAGACACATGCATATACAGATAGCCTACTGGTTCTGCTTCTCTGCAGAAGGCTGACTGATACAGGACGTGATTCCTTCAAGGCTGTCAGCACACATGACAGAACACCCCACGGCCCACTTAAGCAGGAAGGAATTTATCATAGGACACTGCATAGCTCATGGAAATGCTGGCAGGACCAGAGGATTGGGCTCGGAGGCTTCATGCCCGGAAACAGCAGCTACTGCTGCAGGGAGATGCCTCTGCTGCCCCAACCCCGCTCCTGCTGCCCCCGAAAGCTGGCTGTGTCTACAACCACACTGGCCAGAGAATGGTTCTGCATGGCTCCTGCTTCCCCACTTTGCTCTAAGTGGAAGGAAAGTCATTTTCATTTTGCATCTGATTGGCAGAGTCCGGCTCTCATGCCTGCATTCCAGCTCCAAGGGAGGGTGGGGCAGTGGATTTTCTGGCTTGAGCCTTGGAGAAATTCTTCATACGTGGGAAGGGTGTTCACAGGGGCTGGGAAACACGGGTGGTTTAACTCAGCAGATCTACATTTTTAGTTCTGTTTTGCCTCTGTGGGCTCGAGCCCTAGAACCGCAATGACAGTGACACCACGGTTGATCTGGCAACAGCTCAAAATAATTGCAAGAAAGAACTCAAATTTGAGAAGTCAAATTATGCATGTACAGAATAGCAGTGATGTCAAGACTGTAGCCCACTCTGTAGACACACAGAGCATTCTGCTGATAAAAAAGTGTCAATATAGTAGGCGTGTCCACAACCTACTTTTCTACTTATACATGCTTTCCTATAAAAATGGACTTGAAACTAAAATAGCTTTACGTGAATGACAGTAAGGAATATTAAAACATCAAAGATGCCTTTATAGGGCACTGTTAAGGGGGTTACAGTGAGACATTTTCACTATCTTGTTATTCATGTTTGATTTCCTCCCAAGCTGGGGCTCAACACTCCTTTTGCTCTCCGTCCCTATACTTTTGACCGAAAGGACCTTGGGACCATCTGCACTTCAGATGTGGTATTTTGAGTTTCAGGACGAAGTGGCAGGACATATTGCAGATGTCCGTGGCAGGTTTCTCCCCCACCCCTTGGAAAATAACATACGACAAAGTGCGTGTATTTTTACAGAAGTATAAACTCAAGTAACCCCCAAAGAAATCAAGATTTAGAACATTTCCAGTGCTCTAGAAGGCTTTTTTTGTGTGTCTTCCCTGGCAGAAACCTCCAAAACATAACCATCATTCTGACTGCAGTCACTGTTGATTAGTTTTGTCTGCTTTGGAATTTCACTTGCATAGAGTCATGCAGTATGTCCTTTCTTGTGTCTTTCTTTTGCTCAACATGGCTGTTGACACCCATGTTGCTGTGTGTCAGCAGTTGACCTTCATTGCTGAGTCAACATTACATGTAAACCACAACTGACTTATTTAGTCACCAGTCAATGGACATTTGCGTTTTTCCTCACCGTTTAGCTATTATGAATAAAGCTGCCTCTTTGGCAGATTTCACCCTTATAACAAGGTCTTTATTTATTTATTGAAAAAAATTTTTTTTCTTTATTGATTTGAGAGAGAAGGAAGTGAGAGGGGGAGAGAGATAGAAACATCGATGAGAGAGAACATCGATTGGCTGGCTCCTGCACGCCCCCCACTGGGGATCAGGCTCACAACCTGGGCGTGTGTCCTGACTGGGAATTGAACCAGTGGTCTCTTGGTGCATGGGTTGACACTCAACCACTGAGCCACACCGGTCGGACAACAAGGGTTCAATTTAAAATGTCATCTTTTATACATGTTTATTATGGAAAATGGTTCCTGTTCTCCATTCAAAATCCCTGCTGTGTTCCCTCATGCTCTCTGGCCTGATGGAAAGAGAAAATGTGTTCACAAGTGTGACATGCACCATTAGATAAGGGAAAGGAACTATGTATTTACTAAGAGCCTACGCCGTGCATGTACTTTACCTGCCTATTGCATGAACTCATGAGAACATCCCTATGAATGGGTTTTCCTGTTTCACAAAGGAGGAAATGGAGGTGCTGAAAAGTTGGGTGGCTTGTCCAGAGTCATACAGCTACACGAAGTCGTAGGAGGCAGCAGAGAAACCCCGATGTGTGGCTAACTTCCAACACGTGCCCCACTGAAGACCTGCAGAAGCTGAGTCTCAGCAGGAATGGGGAATGGAGGCTGGAGGGTGCAGTGATGTGGTGGGCATGGCTGATGTTACTACCCTTCCAGATGATTCTGCTAATGA